CTTCCCTTACTACCCCTCCTCACACAGCCCCCACCCCACCACCCCGGGGGCTCACCTTACAGCACTCCGCACTCACTGTATTAAGGAGCCCGTATGGAGTACTGGTCATGCATTGGGCTGCTAACCATAAGGTCGGCAGTTCAAAACGCTCTTCTGGAGAAAGACGGGCTTTCTTACTCAGAAAGCGTTATAGTCTTGGGAGCTCACAGGGTCCATTTTACCCTGTCCTACAGGGTCGCTATGAAGGGGCACCCACTTGAAGGCCGTGAGTGGTGCAGGGCTCAAATGTGACCATAACCGAGCACAGCACAGGGCCGATCTGTGTTTCCGTCTGCTGCACAGGGGTGGCTGTGAGTTGGCGACCGATTCGATGGCACTTAACAGTGTGGCCGTAGCTAGAGCTCCCTGCTGCTGACCAAGACGTCGAGAGTCAGAATGGACCATCTGCAGGAGAGACGCAGCCATGTCCTGGAAACCGTTCAGGGCAGTTGAACTCTGTCCTGCGGGATTGTGGTGAATTAGAATAGACTTGACCCCAGTGGGTTTGGTGTGCCTTGCTTTTCCTATAAGTAATTAAGAGTTTGAAAATACATGCATCGTAAACACAAAAGAAGCATCAAGGAGCCCTTCAGGACTGGGATGTCCCGGATTAGAACCACTTCAGTGCATTTGTGGAAATACCAAGTGTGAAATTCTTAAGATTTCTTTTTCTCATTCTTTTGGTTCCTCTGCTTGGCTGGTGTCCTGAGCTTCTGGAAAATTCACTCCTGCCTTGCCACCCACAGGGTCGCAGAGAAAAGTCAGGAGGCCTTAGGGTCCTCTCTCTAATGGGTCCCTGACCAAGGCCTCCCCCTCAGCCCTGCCCTCCACCCCACCTTGCCTGCCAGGCACTGTAGCCCAGCCAGGAAACAGGAGACGCCTGTCAATTTCCTCTCTGGCTGTGCCCTAGGTTTCTGCATTGTAGAACTGGAGCCAACTCCCTGATAAGGGATGGGTGGGTCTGAGGGGAGAGGCCGAGGGAGCGCCAGCCGTCCTTGCCTATGACCCAGTCTAGAGGAAGGTTACTCAATAGGCAAGATAAACATGTGCTTCGGGCATCAACCAAACGGGACCACCAGTTGTCAGAAGCAACGACCCAGGAGAAGCCAGCCAGACGGGACACAAGGAAAAGCCAGCCATGCCGGTGGAGCTGCCTGCTCCAGTACATAAGAATGCCCTGGCTGGAAAGAAGTTTGGGCAGGGTCACAAGGGCACCGCCTAGGAGGTGGTTTATGCTATGAGGCCCCTAAACTTCAACCCCTTTGTTGACATCTGACTTTCCCTACAGTCCCCTCCCATAACGTTGGAACTGCTTATGTCAGCCAGTCTCTGGGGGAGTATTCTCACTTTCTAATAAACAAGAGGTGAGGGGGGCAAGCTTACTCCTGCTCCATCCACCCAATACTGCCAGTTTTACAACTGATCACTAATATGATAGTCTCATGTAAAAGGAAGTTATGTCACAGATAGTTATGTCACGGATACCCATGCAAGGGGGCTTCAACACATTTGTGGAAAGATTCCATTATTTCTCAGTTCCATTTTTCCATGTGACTTTCTGTCAATACTGACTCATGGCGAGAACCTAGAGGGCAGGTTAGAACTGCCCCAGTGGGTTTCTGGGACTCTTTACCAGAGCAGAAAGCCTCATCTCCTCAGGGAGCCACTGGTGGTTTTGAACCCATAACCTTATGGCTCTCAGCCACCAGGGAAGCCCCCTCATATATACAAAGATAAGTAAAACATATATATGGCTACTAGGTCTCCAATTCATGCATGCGTGGTTTATTCCAAATAAAACATATTCAAACATGTCTCTGCCATCAGGGGATAGCTACAGATAGGTTCTTTAGGTAACACACTTGTCTTAGTCTCCTTAGGGTGCCTTTAAAGGGGAAAAAAGGTCCAGTCATAACTGGCTTCCAAGGAGATCTGTTGGGCCCGTTCGGATCAAGGTAGCAAGGTCAGCTCAGAAGGTTATGGAGACTGGTAGTTGGGCTTCCAAAGGGATACTTTGGGTAGATTTTCTCAAAGGACACAGAGTGATCACAGAGGCAGACGTTTTCAGAAAATTCAATGCTGAAAGAAGGCCGAGAAAGAGGTGCTGAGGAATTATTTCTCCATCGTGGCCACGCTCATTCTTTGAGGGTCCCTCGTTCCTCACTCACTGCCATTAAGTCCAGTCCGACTCACAGTGACCCCAGGCGACAGGGTAGAACTGCCCTTGTGAGTTTCCAGGAGTCTAGCCCTTTACGGAAGCAGAAAGCCTCGTCTTTCTCCCAGGGATCGACTGGTGGTTTCAAACTGCCGATATTGTGATGAGCAGCCCACCTCCCCTGTCTGAGGACAGCCAAGGCTGTTCTACAAGAATTTTTTGAGAAGTCTTACCCCACCCACCCTACATCCCCTTCTGATCTTGACCCTTCAGATTGGTTTTTGTTCCCCAAACTCAAAGAACACCCCCTGAGGATAACGGGATTCATGTAGTGTGAACCGAAGTGCTCAGAATTCTTTGGGGAAGGGTTTGAGAGAAGGAAACAGTGCTTCCAGAAGCGTAGAGACCTTGAGAGGGGATAGGCCAAGGAACAATAACTTCATATTTTTGTTTAATAAAGGTTTCTGCTATTTTTGTAGCAATCGGGTTTGACTCACCCTTACGCGTGTGTGCATGTATGTGTGTCTGTAACACATATCCAAGTGAAATGCATGAGCAAGCAACTGAGGTGCACTGCAGATGACCTGGTTCGATCTCTTGCTTGCCTTAACCCAGCCCTGCCTAAATCACTCATCAAGCAAAGCTGCTTCTGAAGCAAGGTTCACTCCCTGGCTTCCTCCTGAAAGCCGCTCTGTCCGTTGTTGCCAAGGAGAAGGGAAGAAGCAAAGATGAGAAGCTGGCACCTGGCTAGGACCAGGCAAGTCTGAGAACTAAGAACAGAGGTGTAACTGCCTGGTTGAAGCAGTTCCCCTAGTACTGGTGGGACATCGTCCGAAAGTCTGTGTTCATTCTCCAGGATAGAGCTACCAGGTGGACTGTTTACGGAGACACCACAAGCCAGTCACTATGCCACATGTACAAAACCAAACGAAGCCATTGCCCTGAAGTTGATCCTGCTTCATGGCAACCTGTGTGTTAACAGAGTAGACAGAGCTGCCCTCATAGGGCTTTCGGGGCTGTCATTTTTACAGTGGCTACAACAACGGGTTCGAACATAGAAATGATTGCAACCCGTGTACTTCATAAAGCTTTCCAGGTCACCAAACCTTTCTTCCTCGTGCTTCTGCGTAGGTTGGCATCACCAGCCTTTCGGCTATTAATTGCGTGCTTTCATCACTTGCAATATCCAGAGATTCCAATTGTGGTAGATATATAATCGTTTGTCAATTTGAGGATTAAAAGTGTAGGGGTGGAGTCTAGCCTGTCAATCAGATCATAGCCAGTGAAACTTCTGTGTGGGCATAGCCTTCCCCTAAGGATTCTGGGAATTCGGGTAGTTCCTCCTGGGAGACGGGGGGCTCTGAACACACCCTGGGAGACATAGCCGCTGATAAGACACACAGACCCGCCCTGATGCAGCCCTGGGTCTGGAGAAGCCGTGCAGAGACCCCTGCCAGTGCTGAGATGTTTCCAATGACACTGGATCCAAAGACTTTCTACCCACTGGCCTGTGATCTTCTACATTCGGCGTCATTGCATGTGTTTCATGAGTCTAAAGAGGACTTTATAGATTGGTAGCAGACATACGGGCTAATATCAGACTTATGGACTTGATCTGGACTGGGCTGGGGTGTTTCTCAATGTTCAATTGCTCTTGCATATAAATCTCTTGCTTATTTTACACATATGTGTGTCCATGGATTTGATTCTCTACCCAGACTCACACACCAATTAAGTCCCTAAAACCTTTCAATTCAGTATGCATCCCCAAAGAGTTATACATTTGCAAAGTAAAGAAGAAAACAATAGTCCTGAATTACTAATAAATGAATGCCGAACTACCTATTAAAAATGGATTCGGAAAGTCTTCTGTTGTCCAGAATGGAAAGTCGTTATCGAGATGAGGATGGGGCAGTCATGAAAACAATGTCAGTCAAATCCGGGAAGAGGAACCTGGAGGCTTGCAACGGTTAGAGGCTTGACCGTCCTCGCTCCAAGGAACCGAGATTCTTAGCTGAGACCTAAAGAATGAGAAACAGCTAGCCGTGGAAAGAGACGGCAGAGGGTGTGTGGGTTTCTGAAACTAACTCTTTATGGGAGCAGAAAGCCCCGTCTCTGTCCCATTCCAGGCAGAGGGAATGGCAAATGCAAATTAGCTAGGAATAGCATTGGCATATTTAAGAAGGCTGGAATGCGGTCAATGCAAAGAAGCTGGGCATGAGATGGAGTCAGAGAGAGAGAGAGAGAGAGAGAGAGAGAATTAGCCAGCTTCCAGGCTTGCTGCTGGACTAATGCGGAGACTGAAGGAAAGGGGGACTCTTTTCCTTTGAGTTTTTGGTTTGGAACCCATTCTTGTTGGGCCAACTCACGGCAGCCCCCCCAGTCAGAAGAGCTGTGCTCCGCAGAGTTTTCAGGGGCTGTTTTTCCTAAACTGATCACCAGCCGGCCGTTATTCCAAGAGGCCTCTAGGTGGACTTAAGCCCCAGCCTTTCCCTTGGCAGCTATGCTCATTAACCCTTTGGCAGGACGTAGCCGAAGGGAGAAAGTGATGGGCCTGGGGGTGGGTGTAGGGGAGTGCGGACAGGTCACGGTGGGACAAACTGTGCTCAGTCTAAGGCTCAGAGGAGAGGAGAGGAGAGGCCGCTTGAAGGCACGGACCTGGATGAGCTCCTCTGAGAAACCACTGAAATTAGAGACCAGTCCTCAGCCCAGCTGCTTGTTCCTCCTTCCGAGCCGGCACACACCTGGAAACTGCTCTCCCAGTAACCAAGTTGTTGGAGGTCAGTGGAGAGAACTGTGTGCCCCGATGGCCTCACCTAACACCAGTCCCCGCTACAAGAAGATGATGCCCGTGGGTCCCAGATGGCCCCTCTCAATGATAAAGCTTCACACATGTCCACTCACTGAAGAAGTATTTCTAAACTAAGTAAACTGGCAACTTTCACCCATTCATTCATGTAATGTACCAGGCACTCTGTCAAGTGCTGTGATCAACAATAAAAAAGGAAAACCAAATCCACTGTCAACTCGTAGTCAGTCTCTCTCCTGAGGAGCAGTTAGTGGTTTAGAACTGCTGACCCCCCCTTGCAGAGGGGTCTCGGGGAGGAGATGAGCCAGTCAGGGTGCGATGTAACAAAGACGAGAAATACAACTTTCCTCTAATTCCTAAATGTTTCCTCCCCACTCCCACTACCATGACTCGAATTCGACCTTGCAAGTCTGGCTAGACCAGAGGATGTACACTGGTACAGATAGGAACGGAAAATCCAGGGAATCCAGGGTGGATGAGCCCTACAGGACCAGTGGTGAGAGTGGCGATACCAGGAGAGTGGGGGGGAGAGTGGGTAGGAAAGAGGGAACCGATTACAAGGAACTATATGTGACCTCCTCCCTGGGGGATGGACAGCAGAAAAGTGGATGAAGGGAGACGTTGGACAGGGCAAGATATGACAAAATAATAATTTATAAATTATCAAGGAGCGCTTCCCTGACTGCCTTCTCGGAAGTTTCTCCCTACGTTGTTCTAGAACCTATCACCCGATTTCTTTCCTTCAGAGTGCTGGTAAGTGCCTCTTCTAGCAGGCCTGGCGAAGTCCCACCAATGCCCTGCAATAACGAATGTAGGCATTGCTAGGCCTGCTACAGAGATCAGGGTGTTAAGGTTCAGAAAGGTTGACTGACTCAGAGATCCTCTGGCCTGCAATGGAGTCCAGTCCTTCTGACTTTGACCTTAGGACTCTTTTCTGCTCTGACTCATACACCCCTCTTGGGACAAGAGGTCAGACCAGGCAGGATGTCTGTGGCATTGATCCTAGGGAGCCAGGGGAGGGGGGGCAGTTGCGAGGTGGGAAATGTTGGCTGTCCTCTCTCTCCAAGGCATTCCTGGCGAAGTATGGCTACCTCGGTGAACAGATCCCCAAAGCTCCCGGCTCCACCTCCGCTCAGCTCAGCAATGCCATCAGGTAGGACAGAGGGATGTGGAAGACTTGAAGGTTTGGGGTCAGCTCCTTCCTCCCCATGTGTGCTCAGGGGCCATCCTTCATTGCCCCCTCCCTCTTCATCCCCTGCCTCCTGCTGGCACCACAGAGAGGCTCCCTGCCCTAAGCAGGACCCCCACACTCCCTCCCAGCTGCTTAATCTCAGTTCCTCCTGACAGGGAGTTCCAGTGGGTGTCCCAGCTGCCTGTCAGTGGCGTGCTGGACCGTGCCACCCTGCGCCAGATGATGCAGCCCCGTTGTGGGGTGACGGATGCTGACAGCCATGCAGCCTGGGCCGAGAGGGTCAGTGCCCTGCTTGCTGGACGCTGGGCCAAAAGGAGGCGAAGGAAACGCTTTGTAAAGCAAGGTGGGCACTGTTCAAATCCAGCCAGGCCAGGACTCCTCAACATCCTGAAGTCCCTTGGCCAGAAAGGTTCCACGGGCGTCGTCCATAACGTCCCTTCCCTGGGACATGGGAGGGGCGAACAGCAGATGACTAGGGCCCCTTGGCTCCCCTTTCTACCCTGAGGAGCATGGCTGTGGATATCAAACCAGTTTGCCTTGGAGGATTCCAGCCCCTGGGTGTCAGAGTCAAATGAACTGTGCGCCGAGGGCTTTCCATGGCTGATTTTTAGTTTCTGAAGTAGATCACCAGGCCTTTCTTCTGACGTGCCTCTGGGTGGACTTGAACCATCAACCTTCCGGTGACCAGAGTGTCAACTGTTCATATCACCAGGGGCTCGTCTGTAAACACAGGCAAGGAAATGAGAACCATACTGCTCTTGACGAATTTTCATTGTGCTAGTACTCTTCTGAGCAAACCCCTTCAACCCTACTAAATTCCTTGATCAGTTTCCTACGTGGGGGCAACGAAACTGTTGCTATTCTCCCCGTGTACATTTGTTTTCATCAAAATCCATCCTTCTTCATAAAAACGAACTCAACACAGTGCAGTCCATCCATCAGTTTGCGTTGGCCCATCGCACAGGTTTTAACAGCTTCACTGGGAAGGAATTCACATGCTGTACAACCCACCCAGTGGAGAGTGTACAAGCCAGTAACCATCTAATAACCATCTAGTGCAGTGGTTCTCAACCTTCCTCATGCCGTGACCCTTTCAGACAGTTCCTTCCTCGTGTGGTGGTGACCCCCCAACCAAAACATTATTTTCGTTGCTACTTCATCACTGTCATTTTGCTACTGTGATGAATTGGGTGACCCTTGTGAGAGGGTCCTTTGACCCCCCAAAGGGGTTGCGACCCACAGATTGAGAACCGCTGATCTAGCAGCTGCTCAGAATGGGGCAACTGTCCCCACAGTCTAATTCCAGGATCTTTTGATCATCCACCCCCCACAGAACCTCATGCCCATTGGCAGTCACCCACTGCCCATCCCTCGCTGTCCTCAGCCTCTGCCGCTCCTAACCTACTTTCTGTATCGATAGATTTGCTTAGTCTCGGGTTTTCATCAGAGCACTGTCGCACATTTTACACATCACAGCTTCTACCGCGGTGAATTCCCTGGCGTAGCTTTTCTTACTTTGATTTTAACCAAGCCCAGCCTTCCGGGGCCCAGGGTTTGGGACCTAAGATCATCAGTGAAAACTGATCCTTCTGTCGGTTTTTCATCCATGACAAGATTTTCTGTGTGTAATTTTAGCATCTTGATTGTTTTCACCCAGCCTAATTTTCTCGAATCCGGGTTGGCCGTTTTACAGATTTCTCACCACACCATTAGCGTCTGTAGGTAGTTTCCCTGTGAGCACTCCGGCCCCTGTCCGTATGCATTCTCACTGACCACTTTGACGGAGGAGGACCCAGGCGGAGAGTGAGGATGCTGGTGTCCAGGTTGGCCAGTCCAGTTCTGCTGGTTCGGCCTGTGCAGCCTCTCTGGGGACCCCTGCTGACTCCATGCTGCTAAAGCAGTCAGCCCTGGGGGCTGGCGTCTGAGGACACGATGACCTTGGGGTCCACGTGTTCTACCTCTCTGTGTTTCCAGCACCAGCGAGAGGGACTAGGTGGAAGGAAGACAAGTTATGAGCGCAGGAAGCTGTGGTAGCACCCAAAGGATGGCGTCCCGGGAGCCCGGGACCTCTGGGTTCAAAGGTCAGCTGTGTGACCTAGAACAGGTCACTTTGGTCCTGGAGCCCTCGTTTCTTTCAGGTGGCAAGGGAGAGACCGGCCAGGGAAGCAGTCTCGGGGGCTGCACTCCCAGACCCCCATTGGCTTCAGACACTCGGAGCAGGGCCTCCCAGGCCCTTAGAAGTCACCTGAGCACCAGGGGTGCTTCTTCGGGTCTAATAGCCATGCGCCTTCTCCGGCCCCACGGGAAGTTCTGAAGTTCCGAGGAAGTCCATTCGGCTCCATCCAATTCAGAGCCTCCCTGTTGGCAGAAATTAGTGCAGGCTGTCTCTGCACTCTGAGCTCTGTCAACCCCCTCGCCTGGTTGACCCCTGACCCGTGGTCCAGAGAGCAGTGGGCAGGTTGACCGGGGAGTTTTCCTTTCACCCCGAGCTGAGGCAGAGGGAGAGTTCTCTAGAGAGGAGCCTGCGCTGGGCAGGCACAGAGCCCTTTGCACATCTTAGGGAAGACAATGTGACCATCACCGTGAACTTTATTGAGCATTTATGATGTGGCAAGCAAGGGCCTACCTGGATTAACGCAAGTCTCCCCAACAACCATCGCAGGGTCATCAACCTGAGGTGACTCCCCCCCTGGAGCTGAGGGAGCCTTGTGGTTGGGAAGATGACATGTGACCTGGCTGTGAAAACCCCAGTCCTGGGTCCCCAAGTCCAACCCACGGCCATCATGTGCATTCTCCCTCTCAGGGACCTTGGAGGACAGCGTCGACCCGCCCCCCAGGGTGTTCAAAGTCATGCTCTTGACGGAGCAGAGAACACCCCAACTTTCTTCTCCACACATGGGTCAGTGCGTGTAACATGACTTCCTAGAGCAGGGAGTTTCTATTGAAGCGCAAATGTCCCAGGTGAGCATCCTCAGATAAAATGCAAGACGCCCGGTGAAATTTGAATTTCCGATGAACCACCCATCATTTAATTTTTTTTGTTTATCCTAAGAAAACCCCATTTCTTTCTGATCTGAGCCCCACATTTAACTGGGTGTGTTTTTATGAGCTCGATCAGGCAGCCTCCTTTGGGGGCTCTTTCCTCTCCCCTTGCAGGACTGATTTCCCATCTCCCCTGCTCCCTGGTGGTGGGGGGCTTGGGATGGGAAGTGGATATTTACTAAGTGCACCCCTCCCCCTGGCTAAACATCTTCACATTTCTATTTCCTTGGATCTCGTTACTGCCTTCCATGAAGTAAGTCTTATCAGCAAAGCGAGGCTCGGCCAGATTCTGAAAGGTGCCGGGTAGCTTATCCAGCGTGGTCCCAGGATTCCCATCTGGCTTTCCACCATATTGGCTGCCTGTGATTGTCAGGAGCGCTCCTCCACGCCCGTCTCCACTTCTTTCTCTCGTCCCTGTTGGACAGGGTCCCTGGGTGGGGCCATCTGGAAGCACCTCGGAAGAAAGGCCTGGTGATCAGCTGCCAAAGGGTCAAGGTTTCAAAAACCCTCCAGCACAGTTCTACTCTCTCACTCTTGGGGCTGTCGTGAGTCAGGAAAGGCCTGCTGGCAACTGGGTCGGTTGGTTTGTTGCCATTCGGACACTGGAAGAAGGAGAGGTGTGGGGCCAGTTATGACGGGGGATGGGGGCGGGGGGTGGGGCGCAGGGGGTGGATTGGGTGGCCATGGAACCTGACAAGGAAGGGAGCTCAGGCTACTCTCTGCCCACTCCCTGTGGGTCCCCTGACACTGCGCTCCTCCCAAAGACAACTAGTCCTTTTCTCTCCGTTCCTAGCTGCCCTGTAGCCTCATCTCAGAACACACACACACACACACACACACACACACACACACACACACACTACCTAGAGTGAGAGAAGTTCTCACCCCCCTCAGGGGCCTCTCTAGCTTCCCCATCTCCCTCCCTTCCCTGACAGAATCAGTCCATCTTCCCTCCCCTGGGGTTGGTCACTGGCTGGGAGGCAGAGGTTGGGTTCCTGCCAGGCCAAACAGGCCCTGGGGCAGCAGCATTGCCTTGAATGGAGTGATGCTCAGGGGTAGAAGAAGGGGTAAGTCCCTCCTCCATTAACACAAAGGGGGTGGGGGCGGGTGGGGTGGAGCCCAGCGCCTCTCCAGGCTAACCCTCCTCTCCTTCCAGCTGGAGAGTTTCAGCTCCAGCCTCCCCCACTTTGACCCCCAGGAATGATGTTCCAGCAGATTTATAAGCCTGGGGTCGGAGCCCATGTGCCTGTTTATCTCTGATAGAGTGGAGAGATCATGCTCTTAAGTGTCAGGAGGTTTGGGCTCAGAGCCTAACTCAGCCACTACTCCTTCTATGACACTGAGCCAAGTCTCAATATCCCCAAATAGAACAGACGGGAAAGAGATGGCCAAACTCCCAAGAAGGCACTCCTCGTGCTGCTACGGGCAAGGACTTCCCCAGGGCAAGGGGCAGGTGGACCGAACCTGCTGCGGGCCTGGGCCCCTCTCTCCGATGGTCACCTGTCCACCTGCTGTCCTTGCTCCAGGGACTCCGGCCAATTTGTATAACTGAGGAACTAAGCCCCTCCTCCCCCACAAAAGGAACGTGAGCCTTGTGTTCTCCCTGGATCCATGGGTCCTGCCTCCAGGCTAGGACGTGGAGTCCCGGTGTCAACACCCTGAATCTGCAGGACTCAGAAGTGGCCCATGAGAAACTCCCAGGGTGTGTGGTGATCTGTCCATGGACCCAAACTCAGATGCCCCGGGGCCAAGTCAGGAGACCAGAGTCATAACTCTCGGGAGTAACCTCAGTTTTAGGGGAAGGGAGAGAGAGAGACACTTCACTGAGCAGAGATGGAAAAATTGCTCTCAGTCAGTGACAAAGCACACCCTTTGTTCTTGTTTTCACCTCAGAGCTCTCTAGGGGCCCTGAGGAAGCAAGGGGGGAGGGCAGAGACAGCCCTGGAATACATGGGCCTTGCGGTCACTGGTCAGCCACCCCGCCTGAGGCATGGGGAAAGGGCAGGGTGAAGCCCTGGAGGTGGCAGTAGGGCGGGAGGGGTAGAGAGGAGGAGGGAGGAGGGTGGGCAGAGGGCAGCCACAGCTGTGGCCCAGAGTCCCCACCTCTCCCCACCGCAGACATAGGAGTCAGGGGCTGGGATTTGCTGCCAACAAAGGGCACAGAATCCTACAGGTTGGGG